GTCTCGCTTGGCACGTCGAGTCTTTTCCCTTCCTCGATGAGCTACACCTAGCATGAATCGTGGGGCCACCCCAACTCAACTCACCGAGTCTGAAGATCAACTCGGCGAGTTCCACCTTGAACTCCAATCCTCTATCCCCCCTTTGACTCACTGAGTCATTTCCCCCAACTCAGCAAGTTACTCACTAAGTGACTTACGGGAAACCCTAGCCCTACTCGATGAGTCTGCCTTTGGACTCGGTGAGTTCATACTATGCATAAACTCAATTGGCCTCCTAAGGTCCTTTGATCCATAGATCTGACCTTCCCAAACCTGATAATCACGTAAAGCTCGGATCTTGACACTCATGTGACGTCTAGGAGGTTTCACTTGGTGATTTAGCCCCAAAAACAAAACCCTAAGCTCATTAGCTCCATAGCTCAACATAAAGCAAGCTGGAATAAGCTCTTTAGACCACTATGGGTCTAGATCTGAAGTCTCAATATGAATAGGGGCCATATTCTCACAACTCATTTCAATAAAGGACATAAAAACTCTACATCTATGGATTCCTTCAACAAAACAGATAAAGGGGCGATATAATACCTCAAAGATGAAGTCTTTTTCTAGAAATCCCCAAATGCACAACCTCCTTGGTCTCCTCTAAGCTAGAATCACCTCCTTCTTGCAAGAATCAACCACAAAGATCAAGAAATGGCTCATTTCTTCTCACAAGCGCTCTAGCTCTTTTAGGGTTTCTCTCTGGGGTTTGGTAGCCGCAAATGACGGCCCTAAGGGCCTTGAAATAGGTCCCAAACCCGAGAAATTAGGGTTTCATAAAATAGCACGGACTCGCCGAGTCCACTCATGAACTCGTCGAGTCCCTCCACAAACTCCAAAATAAATTAATCAAATAATATACCTGAGAATCCGGATATTACATATATATATATATATATATATATATATATATAATATATATATATATATATATATATATATATATATATATATATATATATATATATATATATATATAGTGACAAGTGGAAAATTTTGGATTAAGCAAAGTTTAATATGTAGTGATGTATAAGTACAGCCACAATGTAACATTTGTTGTCATAAAAATTTTGATAGAAAAAAGGACATCATTAGTACAAGTATATATGTAAGCATATATGCGTACTTTGAAAATCATGGTTGTAGTAAACACTTAAAGGGAATTAGTTTTATGAGTATATATACCTTGAAATCATATTTATAACAAACTCTTGAAAGTAAACAAACTATGACAAGTCAAGACAAATTAAATAGTTGGAACAAAAATCATGAATTAATACCTTTCTTTATAGTTTAGGCCTAGGACCCCACCACCTTAGTGATTTCGGTTTGCTTAAGGCCGAAATCACCTCTTAATGGGTACTACAAAACCGAAATCACAAGGTAGGAAGAATTCAAAACCGAAATCACAAGCTAGGAAAGATTCAAAACCGAAATCACAAGCTAAAATGGGTCTAGAATGAAATCACAAGTCTAGGATAAACCTAGGCCGAAATCAAACCAAGTCTAGGCCGAAATCACTTTGGATTTCGTCCATATTAAGGAAATTTCAAAGGGATTTTGGTTTAAGAAAAGTAAAAGGATAAGGTTAGTAGACTTTTGTGATAAAATACTTCATCGGTTCCCCATTTAGATTAATACACAACAAACTTCCAAGCAATTATCCCACAGTTATCAAAGTAAGCATCCCATGATGTACCACCTTATTTTAAGGCCGAATTCATACCATAAACCCCACCATTTCTCCATCGTTACTTTCTGTTAACTTCCATTTCCTCTCAATAACAAATTCCTAGCTTTCAAGTTCAAAACTTCCCAAGTTCATCGTTAGGATTTTGGTAAGATTTCCTTGTTGATCTAGTGTTTTGTTACACTTTCATGTTAGTTTCATATTATTTAGTATTTACACATATTATTTTCTCTACTACTTAGTGAAAATATCATTACGTATCTTTTATATATAAATAAGATTTACATATGCCAAATAAACTACATTATTTGCCTTCAATGATCCTTTTCTTAAAGTTGGAATATGTGAATGTCATTTATATACTAAAGATAACAATGTCAAGGATGAGTTTGATTTAAAACAAGTTTAGGTCAAAAGTATTTTGCATATAGAACTTGTTATTAATAGAACATTGATATTTATTTTATAATTCCTTTTAGGAGATCTAGTCTCATAAAAAGAGTTCTAATCATATCCAAATATAAAGGTGATCGTTATGAAAAACGATTTAAGTAAATAGTCAATCATTAAAAAAATTAATTGAGATATATATTTAGACAAGCTAAATTTAAAACATACATTGTTCCAAAACAAACATTGTTTCATACTACAAGTGCATTATGTTCCTAGCATAATTAATCAACTAAACTCTACGAGTGTAGTTTAAACTTGATTGTGCTCAGCTAAATACTCTTCTGTAAATATCTGCAAGTCAATTACAAATATTAGATTAACATTTAAGTAACAAGTACCTAAGTGTTATATTAAAAGTATGAGTTCTATCTAGTAGATATTTGAAGTACTAGTCTCTTCCACACTTTCTTTCCAAATAAGAGGAGCAATTCCTATTCCAGTCTCTAGTTTCTCCACAGTAGAAACAAGATCCATTTATGTGGGTCGTATTGGATTTCTTGGGCTTAAAGGTGTTCAGTCCATAAAACATGGGCCTCCTAGATTGTAACACCCGATGGTTCTAAGGTATTATTTATGTAATTATTTATTTAATTGTCTAAATCAAATAACTTGTATTGGGCTTAGTGGATTGGACATTTTATGTGTGGGCTTAGTCAAGGTTGTACGTTGGGCGTAAGCCTGGTGTACGCGGGGCGTAGGCAGATCATATGGAATACGGATGCATGCACGTATGCGCTGCGTACAAGGATGTACATGCAACGTACGTAATCAGACCCAAAAACCTTAATTTCTAGGGTACAATCCCTATATAATGTCATTAAGTCCCAAGTGTTAGCCTCGTTATCAGCCCATATTGTTCAGAAACCCTAATATTGAACCCTATAGCATTTTGGTGTGTTCTTGACCTTATGGAGTGTGTTATTAGTAATTTGGTGCCTTGGAAAGAAGAAGAAGAAGTTTGTGAAGAAGATTTGTTGGAGTTTGAGCTTGAAGATCTAGAACATCATTGTCGTTTGGCACTCATTAGAGGTATAAAGCTTTAAACTTGTTGTGTTATAGCTTAGATCTAGTTCTAGCTTGATTTTTGTTAACTTTTGGTCCCATGAGTGAGTTTTGGTGACTTGATACAATACCAGAAGTTTTGATTTGCCCTCTTGATGTATTTGAGACTTATAAGCCTTAAAGTTAGCATCTTTGGGGTTGAAACCCACCCATGCATGATTTTGAGTTCAATTAAAGGAGGTAGAGTGTTATATTTCGGGTTTGGGTTTTATTAGAAAAATAAAATTTAGACAGTAAAAACTGGTCCGGTTGAACCGGTAAAGCCGGTCAAAAACCGAAAATTTTAAAAAATATTTATTTTTTTCATTTTTTGTATTTTTTATATAATTAAATATAATTATGACATCATCAGGTTTTTCCATTTTTTGAGACCGGTTGGACCACTTGAACCATCGAACCAATAAAACGACCGGTTCGGTCTCCGATCCGGTTTTCAAAACCTTGTATGGAAGCACTCTTTGCAAGTGGGAGACTGTTGGATTAAGTGTCTAAGTCAATAACTCAAGTAGTATATACTTCATTATTAGCAAAGTCCTTTTGGGTTGACCTCAAATCTAGTAATTGAATATAATGGCTTTTAGAGAGAGAGAGAGAGAGAGAGAGAGAGAGAGACTGATTTATTGGTTTATTATATGATTAATAAATAGAAATAAATGAATTTATTAATATATTATGGAAATAATATATTAATTAGAAATAGTAATAATCAATTAAGAACTAATAAGAAATTAATTAGAATTAATTTTGGGATTAATAGGGTTAATTAAAAGTGAAGGGACTGTTTGGTTATTTAATCAAAGTTGAAGCAGGAAGACTCTAGAATACCCATGGGATTGAGTAGACGAAAATTAGATAGGAACCACCTAGAATTTTCGTACAAAGGGCATGGATGAGTAGATAAGGCAGTTTGATTATTACATAAATTAATATAGGCTTTATCCCCAAAACCCCAACTTTAGCCCCAAGTTTCCTTCAGCTATATAAAGGGTCCTATAGTCTTCAAATTTCGGCCACTCATTATTATTCTCTAGAGATAGCTGAAATTTTTCTCACCTCTCTCCTCTCTCTTCAAGTCTCCTAGTTACTAGGGTTGGGTGTCAACCATCAGAGGCAAGAGACTTGTGGTGCTCGTTTCCAAAGCTTTAAAGAAGGTTTCAGATTTGTTTACAACAACAAATCAAGAGGTATGTAAACTTCCTTATGAATTTTGATTTCATTAGGTTTTTGTAGTTTGATAGTGCATAGTATCTTGCCTTTATATGAAATATATAGATCTTTTAGGTTGCATGTGTCATATTACGATTAATTGTTAAGGGTTAATACCAAAAAAACCATAAGTTTTACATTGTTATTCTAAATTATCCCTAAATGGATTTTTTGTGTCTAATTAGCCTAAATAATTGTGACCCCGTTTCAAAATCGTTTTATCATCCGGTTAACAGCCGGTCAAGGTACGCAGTCGGTCACCACTCTCCTATACTACTCGATAGTTTGTATACCACCTAATATCACCTTTCACAGAAACGTCTTGCATCAAAAAAGGGTTTCTTGTAGTTGGTCTTAGGAAGAAGAAGGGTTTGAAAAGGGTTTCTTACACCTTGTTGCATGCAAAAAAGCTTCTATTTTGAAGTTGATAATCACTGAAGTAGAAAGGTACGTGGGGATCCAATAATAAATTGATGTGTATGTGTGTTCTTATCTTACATAATCGAGTTCCATAGTGTCACTTACAAGTATAATTTTTCATTTTGAACAGATGGCTTCATCATCTGGAACTAAAAAGGTGAAAGGGCCTGAAAAGGTTTATGTAAGGGACGAGGACTCTGATGATGATCTCATAGATTTCTCTTTCCTGGATTTTGCACCAGAGACCTTTAAACCGACCTCAAACCTGTCTGATGACCCATTTCTTAACATGTTATGTGATGAAAATATGCTAAGGAGGACTCTTGATGGAATGGGAGATGATGATCAGGAAGTTGGTGTTAAGGATCCAGAACATGATCATATTGATGATCAAAATGACGGTGAAGTAGGTGTAGAGTACAGGGTTCATGATCCAGACATACATTGGAAACAAATGAAGCCGGTAGTGGGAGAGTGTTACGAGTCCCCTGCTCAACTCAGGTTTGCATTAACTAACTATGCGGTAGCTAATGGATATCAGTTGTGGTTTATGAAGAGTGATAGGCATAGAGTGATTGCTAGGTGTGGGAAAATATATAAAAAAGACCCATGTCCCTTTAGAGTTTATGCTGCTTGGAAGTATAATGAACGAACATTTCAGATTAAATCTATATGTGACATACATCTATGTGCTAGAAATTTTAATTTTGGAACTTTGGTTAGTTGTAACTGGTTGGCCAAACATTACTTGAAGGATATTATTATGAAGCCAAAGATGACATTAACTGAGATGAAGGAAGATGTACTTAGGATGTTTTCAGTAAATGTATCCAAGGGGCAATGTCACAGGGCTAGGACAAAGGCAAGAGAGATGATAGAAGGTAAGTTAGAAGAACATTATGCAAAGGTATGGGACTATGCTGCAGAAATCCTCAGGTCTAACCCAGGGAGCACTTGTAAGGTGGGAGTAGATTCTAATGCAAGTGGCATGAACTATTTCAAAAGGTTTTATGTGTGTTTAAAGGCTTTTAAGGATGGTTGGAATAGGGTTGCAGACGTGTGATAGGTTTGGATGGTTGTTTCCTAAAGGGTCAGATCAAGGGAGAACTTTTGACTGTATTGGAAGAGATGCAGACAATCATGTATATCCAATAGCATGGGCAGTGATCGATGTAGAGAACAAAGATAATTGGACTTGGTTTATTGAGCTGTTAGTTGCTGATCTTGACCTTGACTGTGGTAGGGGTCTTGTGGTTATTTCCGATCAGCACAAGGTAAATTATACTATAAATTTGTTTAATTATTATACATTGATAATAATTTTGTTTATTCAATGCCAGGGTCTACTACAAGCTGTTACAGAACTACTTCCATATGTTGAACATAGACAATGTGCCAGGCACATCTATGCAAACTTCAGGAAGAAATACACTGGGTTAGAGCTCAAGAACCTGTTTTGGGAAGCTGCCAACAGTACTGTGGAGGGGGACTTTATAGCAACAATGAAGAAAATCAAAGACATAACTCCCAGTGGCTATGAATGGCTGATGTCAAACAAACCACATTCTTGGTGTAGGGCATTTTTCTCTCATGGATATGCTTGTGAGGCTATAGAGAATGGCATATCAGAGTGTTTTAACTCGATGATCATTCACATGAGAAAAAAACCAATTCTAACAATGCTTGAAGAAATCAGGATTTATTTGATGAATAGGTTTTATCATCAAGCTGCTATAGTTTCTCAATGGAAAGGTGACTATGGCCCAAACACCTTAGAGAAGATTAAGGAGTTTGGAAAGCATATGAGGTATGCTTATTTGATTTTAATTGTGATCTTAAGTCTATACATTTACATTACTAATTACTTATAATTTTAGGTTCTGGATAGTAATACCAAGTGGAGGGGCATTATTTGAGACAAGGCATGGATATTCAGCTTACAAGGTGGATTTAGATGCTCATTCTTGTTCATGCAGATTATGGGAGATATCAGGGTTACCATGTGTTCATGCTCAAGCTGCAATCAATTTCACACATAGAGATCCAACTGATTTTATTTCCTTTTGGTTCCATAAGGACAAGTTCATAGAGACATACAGGGACAACATCTTACCTGTTAATGGAAGTAATATGTGGCCCTGTACTGAATATTTGAAGCCCTTACCACCCCTTGTTAGGAGAATGCCTGGAAGGCCAAAAACAAAGAGAAGAAGACATGCCTCAGAATGTCAGGATTCTAAGTTCCCTACTCAAAAGGCAAAGGTTAGCAGGACTGTTAGGTGTGGGAAATGTAGGGAACTTGGTCATAATAAGCTGTCTTGTAAGAATGGAGAAGGTCCAAGTGACCCTGTCCCTAAAAGGAAAAATGGTAGACCAAAGGGAGATGGGGGAGGGAATTTAGCTGTGAACATTGCAAAGACACCAAGGAAAGTAGATAAGGGAAAGAAGAAAGTTGTTGAGGACACATCAAAAGAAGTAAATGAAGGACATAATAAAGTTGTTGATCACACATCAAAAGAAGCAAGTGAGGGAAAGATGAAAGTTGTTGAGGGCACATCAAAAGAAGCAGGTAAGATGATAGATGTTGATCAGTCAATTTCTCCTTTGAAGAGAATGAAGATGATGGAAAGGAGGGGAGGTAAGATCAAATATGTAGGGAGAATAGGGGTGTGCATGGTAGTATAAGTCAAAATGTGGCAGGTGTTGACCATGAAGATTTTGAAACTATTAAAGATCTGCAGGCATCTGGATATGATCATAGGGAAATTGTTGAAGCTTTTAATAAGGTGTGTAGTTATAAATTTAATTATTAACACAATTTTCTTGAACATTATATGATAATATTTTTATGTTAATTTCTTATTCACAGTTGACAAAAGAGAGGAAGGAGATGTTGGTGAGAGTATAGTTGATGAAGAGACCAGTCAAAAACACAAGATCCGTTGGTAAAAAAAGGAAGCCCTCAGAAAGAATTATCAAGATTAAGTTGAAAAAAGCAGTGCATGATCTAGATGGAGGTGGTTCAACAATTGAGAAAGCACTTACATTGGACTGATGTTGTTATGGACGGGGGGTGAATTGGGCATAAATCTTTTAATAGCCCTTTTTTGTGAAAGCATCTTTTGGTAACAAGCTTCCAATTTGTTGACAACATGTTATCTTTTGACTGTAAATTGTAGTAACATTGTCATTTTGGGAAATCATCTTTTGGCTTGTAAACATTGTTGTAAAATTGGAAGTTTGGTTCTGATTGTTACCCTCCATGTATGTATTTGGCTATTATGTTTATAAAGATTGTGGTTTGTAGTAAGTTCAAATTTCTATGTCAGTTTGTAATGGATAGTAAATTGTCAATTTCTGGTTAATGCTTTTCATATTAATTATCTCGTAGGACTATGTATTACAAGGGTATCCATATTACAACCATCAAAATGTTTTCAGATGCTATTACAACTGTGCCAAAATAAGCATCTAATACAATTTCACCTAACCAACAACTTCACAAAAAGACTAAACTTAACTTCCTAACTTCCTATAATCTCACCAGCAATACAGTCCCTGTTACCAACATCACTGCAAATAGCATGACCATGATAAACATAAGCTTCATCATCAACATCAACCTCCTATTTTGATCCACATTCACCTGTTCCAACCGAGCATTGCCATCAACCATCCCAACCAGAGCTAAATGCATTTGGTACATGAGGTTTTTGTAATCTTCACTAGGAAAAGGTGGGTCCAACCACATGAAGAACTTACAATACCTGGAAGGATTCTGCACATTTTTATGACAGATTTGCCCTTAGTCCCATAACAAAACTTTATACTGCACATTTTTATGACAAATTTGCCCTTAGTCCCATAACAAAACTCTATACTGGATCAAAGAGTGAAGAACAAATGTGCACATTTTTATGATAGATATGCCCTTAGTCCCATTCGAAAACTTTATACTACACATTTTTATGACAAATTTGCCCTTAATCCCATAGCAAAACTCTATACTGGATCAAAGAGTGAAGAACATACCTTGTAGTTGGTGCATCCCCTAAATTTTCTTCCAGGATTCTTGTCCGTCCATGAAATTGAGAAGCTAGCCTCACACCACAACGACACAAAACCATGGGGTTGTTTCTGTTCCTGAAATTGACATTAACATTTTGAAATCCTGAAGTCATTGACCCTATAGACCCTGTAGATGAACTAGCCATGAAGAAGTTAGATGCGTGGAAGAAGAAGTCGGAGAATGTAGAAGTAGGAGATGGAAGATGGGTTTCTAACGGTAAAACCCTTATTTGTAAAGGGGTAACCGGCTGAAACCGGGGAAACCGGCTAACAGGGTTTGAGACAAAAGCCAACACATACATAATGGTTAATTAGACACAAAAAATCCATTTAGGGCTAATTTAGAATTATGGTGTAAAACTTGTGACTTTTATGGTATTAACCCAATTGTTAATTGTTTTTTCCGCTTAGAGCATTGTGTTGTAACCTACGTTTTCCATCAGTTTCTTGGCAAGAGGGGTGGCGAGGCCACTCTCTCAAGCCTTTTTAGAAGAGCAAAATTCATTATATATATATATATATATATATAATATATATATATATATATATATATATATATATATATATTCAAATTAAACCTCAATTTTATTTTAATTTTTATTTTTCTAATAAAACCCTAACACTATTTTATTTTTTTCAATTTGGCAATTTTAGCAACCTCCGGTTGTACATAATTAAGAAAAAAATAACAAAAAAAAAAAAAAAACACCCTAACCCGGCCCATCTAACTATTATATCTTGTCATGTCAACCCGTTTATTTACATGTTGAATCTATGTCGGGTTGAATAAAAGACTTTAGACCTTGTAAATATATTGTATTTGAAAGAATGAGAGTTTAACCGTTTATTTACATGTTGAATTCATATCGGGTTAAATGAAAGACTTTAGACCTTGTAAATATATTGTGTTTGAAAGAATGAGAGTTTAACCATTGCAAATGAACATTGAAATATTGGAAGTAGTAGTAGTTTAGAATAGAGAAGTCACATTCAAGGGGAAATTATCAAATCAAGTGAAATTAACCGCAAAGGCTAATTAGCAGCTTCCATATAACACAAAAACTCAACTAAAGTTTTATTTACATTTAGTCTTGATTTTGGTCACGTCCAATTTAGCCAAAAGATCAAAACAAAAGTTGCATATATTAACAAGTCATTTTCATATTAAAAATTTGGATCCTAACCTAACACGTTAAATTTCCTTATTATGTCATGTAAACCTTTTTTATTAAACAGATTGAAATCTCTTACCCAAACCTATATTTGTATGTCAGGTTCCATAATATGTCGAGAATTAGACAAAGCATCTTTTCTCTTTATTTCGAAAAATATCAAAGGTCATCAAAAAATCCATAAACATATGAAAAGGCATACATTATGTTGATTTGAAATTATAGTATGCCCTCTACATCGTGTATTGCAATTGCAAGGTCCTTAACAAGCATCTCAAGAAACCACTTACAATAAACATATCAAAAAGCCAATCAAGTATTTGTTAGATTCCACACAAAGTATTTTGTTTCTACATTAACTTTTTCATCATATCATCTCAATTCAAACCCATTTTACCTAACACAAAATGCAACAGTTGCAACACGAGACCCAACTGATCCACCAAACATAAAAGTTGGATATGAACGAATATGATCCAAGTACCAAAACGGTTTCAAACCCTTTCCTTCTTCTTCCATCTCCCCAATCTTTCTTTGATTAAAACTCTCCACTTCTTGCACCAATTCCTCTTTAGTATTATTGCACGATGTAATCACCTAAACAAAATTATATATTTATTTATATTCATCAAAATCAAAAATAAAAAACATTAAATATGAGTAAATGCAAATTGTAACTTACCAATAGTCCACCAGGAGCTACAAGTCTTGACATAGATTCCCAATACATAATCCTGTAATTTAAACAAAACAAATTTTAACTTTTTTTCCTTTTTGAAGTTCTTTTTTGATTCTCTCGTTTATATACCTTTTGATTTGTCCATCTTGATGAAGACCAATAGCATCTAAAGTTCCTTTGTCCATAACAAGCTCAAACTTTTTCTCCAATTTTGTTTCAAGAACATCATCAACCAATAGTTTGATGCCAATAAATCCATCACGATTAGCAAGGCTTCTAGCAAGGTTAATTGCTCCTTCACTATAATCTATTCCAGTGAGATCAGAGAATCTATATACACCAACATCAAATGTGGAAAAAGAAAGATTCATCATCATTCATCACATTATAAGGAGGAATGAGTTTTATTTATTATAAATTTATAATTTACAATGTACCCTTGTTTAGCAAGCTCATGAAGAAGCATCCCATTGCCTGTTCCAACATCAAGAACACTCCATCCTGATAAATCTTTATCCTCTTGACTAACAGACTCAGAGTCATCATCATTATGGTGATTTTGTAAATGTCTTTGTGAAATGTCAATGCATAGTCCTTTTGTCCATGAAGCAACCATTTCCATGACATCTGCCCCAAACCTTTGGAAAGAATTTAAAAAGTTATACAAGAAAGCATCTTGTCAAAGAAGGTATATGTCATAGTCAATTAGATATACATACCAAACTTCACCAGCATCCCCATGTTCACGAAAATTTGTCAATTCATCTGCATATGTTGCATCCCAGTAGCTTTGATACCCCAGCATGGATGTAATTGTTTCAGCATCAGGTTCTTCCTTGTCAGAGCTTTGAATACATTCCATAGAAAAAGAGTATTAGCATTTTGCAGCATATGAACAGTTAACATTCTGGTGATACAACATTGTAATCGAAGTTTCTTCTGTTCAGAGATCGCAGCAATCAGATAACTGTTCATCAAAATTGGGGGATAATTCTGGTTTTGAATGTCTATTATGAATGTTAGGTAGTAAGCTCGTGTGATTCGGTAGCAGAGATAGATACTGGTAGATATTATTTTTATTATAGAATATAGACAATACCAATAGCTATCAACTAATCATGCATCTTCTCTGGATTAATAAACACTAAACCTTGGTTAATTTGGTCAAATTGAGCATATTCCTAATATAAACAGAAACAAATTCATATACATTCGCGCATATTCTTATTATCTGCTATTTTGAATTTTACCTCAACAAATACCATCGACTTGTTAGATAAAAAACACAAGAGGTCGAACTGACATGACTTCAATGTATAATTGCTAACAGTGGAAAAACGGATTGACTTCGTATAATACGGAATTTCATGAAACTCGAAAGCAGCCTAACCTATAATCAGAGGCAGCACAAAATCTGGCCGCTGCTAGAGCTTCGGATGCATCGGCGTGACGTTGATCGTCATCAAGGGTACTCCCATAGTCACTCTTGATGGACCAAGAGTCGGCCGCGATAGAACGGTCGTCGTCGGAGATCAGATCGGCGGTTAACAGGGCTCGCGCCTGTGAGATGTCGATATCTTCCGGAGGCAACCGAATTCCGGCCATACCCGGAAGATGAGGGATTGAGGGACAAATTTTGAAGTTTTAGAGATGAAGAAACCCTAAGGAGGGAAAGAGAGGATTTGCAGAGAGAGAGAAAGAGAAGAGTGATGGGAACGTACTGCTCTTGGAGAATCTGGCAAACCAATTTAGGATCAAACCAATTTCTTTGTTTTGAAAATGGAAAATTTCCTAAAGGATAAACTATAAAACACAAATATTTTATTTTTGATTAGTTTAATACATAAACTTCTTGACTATACTCATATTTTAATTAAATATGTTGTGCTATCACTTTTCTCTTTAATTTTATAAACATAACCACTTTTCATTTCATAAATTTATATATTAGATGTAAGATTCATGTATTATATGGGTTAATTAAAAAAT